CTCCTCCTCCTCCTCCTGCTCCTGCTCCTGCTCCCGCTGCCTGCCCCGGCCAAGCCCGGCCCCCCCCGATCCCAGCTCCCGGCTCCCCGCCAGCCGCGGCGGATGCGGCGCTCGCACACGCGTGGGACCGGGCGCGCTTGTGTGTGCGGTGTGCGCGGCCACGCGTGACCGTGCTCCTACACACGTGTTTAGCGTGTGCGTGCAGGCGCTTGGGCACGCGTGCATGCTCTGGCAGGCACATGTGCACCCGCAACAAGGCGGCAGCGGCACGTGTGCTCCTCAGAGCATGGCAACATGCGCATGGGCTGCGGCACATGTGTGCCTTGCGGCAGGAGCACAGGCATGCGCATGTGCACGCATGCATAGACATGCATGTGCATGTACACGCACACGCATCCACACGCGCCTGCATGCGCACGCATGCACGCCCCAGCCCAGCCAACATGGACATGCATGCATGTGCATGCACACATACGTTTATGCACACACACTTACACATGCTTATACACACGTGCACACCCCGACCCAGCCAACAGGGACACGCATCCACATGCACACACACATACACATGCTTAAACACACACATGTACGCCCCAACCCAGCCAACAGGGACACGATTCCACATGCATGCACACACACGTGTACACATGAACACACACATACACATGCTTACACACACGTGTACACCCCGACCCAGCCAACAGGGACACGCATCCACATGCATGCACACACACATACACATGCTTACACACACGTGTACACCCCGACCCAGCCAACAGGGACATGCATCCACATGCATGCACACACATGTGCACACATGCACACACACGTACACATGCTTACACACACATGCACACTCTGACCCAGCCAACAGGGACACGCATCCCCATGCATGCACACACACATACACATGCACACACACACATGTGCACACTCTGACCCAGCCAACAGGGACACACATCCACATGCACACACACGTGTACACATGCACACACACGTACACATGCTTACACACATGTACACCCCAACCCAGCCAACAGGGACACGCATCCCCATGCATGCACACACGCGTGTACACATGTACACACACATACACATGCTTACACACATGTGCACAATCTGACCCAGCCAACAGGGACACGCATCCACATGCACACACATGTGTAGACATGCACACACACGTACACATGGTTACACACACATGGACACCCCTACCCAGCCAACAGGGACATGCATCCACATGCATGCACACACATGTGTACACATGCACACACACGTACACATGCTTACACACACATGCACACTCTGACCCAGCCAACGGGGACACGCATCCCCATGCATGCACACACACATACACATGCACACACACATGTGCACACTCTGACCCAGCCAACAGGGACACGCATCCCCATGCATGCACACACACGTGTACACATGCACACACACGTACACATGGTTACACACACATGCACACCCCGACCCAGCCAACAGGGACACGCATCCCCATGCATGCACACACACGTGTACACATGCACACACACATACACATGCTTACACACACGTGCACACTGACCCAGCCAATAGGGACACGATTCCACATACATGCACACACACATACACATACTTACACACACATGAACACTCTGACCCAGCCAACAGGGACACGCATCCACATGCATGCGCACACACGTGTACACATGCGCACACACGTACACATGCTTACACACATGTACACCCCAACCCAGCCAACAGGGACACGCATCCCCATGCATGCACACACGCGTGTACACATGTACACACACATACACATGCTTACACATATGTGCACACTCTGACCCAGCCAACAGGGACACGCATCCACATGCACACACATGTGTAGACATGCACACACACGTACACATGGTTACACACACATGGACACCCCTACCCAGCCAACAGGGACATGCATCCACATGCATGCACACACATGTGTACACATGCACACACACGTACACATGCTTACACACACATGCACACTCTGACCCAGCCAACGGGGACACGCATCCCCATGCATGCACACACACATACACATGCACACACACATGTGCACACTCTGACCCAGCCAACAGGGACACGCATCCCCATGCATGCACACACACGTGTACACATGCACACACACATACACATGCTTACACACACGTGCACACTCTGACCCAGCCAATAGGGACACGATTCCACATACATGCACACATACATACACATACTTACACACACATGCACACTCTGACCCAGCCAACAGGGACACGCATCCACATGCATGCACACACACGTGTACACATGCACACACACATACACATGCTTACACACACGTGCACACTGACCCAGCCAATAGGGACACGATTCCACATACATGCACACACACATACACATACTTACACACACATGCACACTCTGACCCAGCCAACAGGGACACGCATCCACATGCATGCACACACACGTGTACACATGTACACACACGTACACATGCTTACACACACATGCACACCCCGACCCAGCCAACAGGGGCACACATCCACGTGCATGCACGCACACGTGTACACATGGACGCACATGCACACACCAATCCAGCCAACACGAACACGCATCCGCATCCACACTCCGTTCCCCCGTCCCTCTGTCCCTCCTCCATCTCCCTGCCCTCCCCCGTGCCCCTCCATCCCCGCACCTCTGCATCCCCCTCCCCTCCATCCACCCCATGGACCGCCCTGCGCCGGGCCCGCAGTGCCTGGGCCGGGGCGGGGGGGCGGAGGGGAGCAGGACCCGCAGCCGCGGCTCGCTGCTGCCGCCTGCAGGGCAGAGGAGGAAGAGCCCGGCTCAGGCCGAGCCTCCTCGACGCCGCAAGGCCGCTTCCAGCGCCTCCTAAAATCCCATCTCAGTCTCCCCTCGGGCAGGTTCAAGCCATTCCCCTTGGCCTGTCCCTACAGGCCCTTGCCCAAAGCCCCTCTCCAGGTTTCCTGTAGGGGATGGTCCTTTCCCAGCACACTGGTCCATCCCACCTCGGTGCAGGCTTGGAGATGCTGGAGGACGGTTTTGAGCACCCAGCACCGATGTTGAGGAGCTTGGCCAGGCCCTGCTCATGCTGTGTAGCCCCAGTGCTGGGAGTCGGGGGATGCTGAGCATCCTTTGCAGTGTGGGGAAGGTGCCAGCATCCCCATCTCTGTCTCCATGAAGATCTTGGTGCCGAAACGCATCAATGGGTGAAGTGGAGGAGACTGGAAGTGAAGGTTTTCCAGCAGTTTGAAGCTGGTCATAGCAGAGATCTGCACTTTGAAGGCCAGGATTTCCATCTGCAGCAGGGCTGGACTCTGGGTTTGGCTTCTTTGATGGCAAGGATTGGTCCTTACGTGCAAGCAGTGGATGAGGAGATGCAGCCAACATGGCTGTTAATCCTTTGAGAGAGAGAGAGGGGAGACTGAGATGAGCTCTTAGGCAGAAGCTCTTCCCTGGGAGGGTGCTGAGGCGCTGGCACAGGGTGCCCAGAGAAGCTGTGGCTGCCCCATCCCTGGCAGTGCTCAAGGCCAGGCTGGACACAGGGGCTTGGAGCAAGCTGCTCTAGTGGAAGGGGTCCCTGCCCATGGCAGGGGTTGGAACTGGAGGAGCTTTAAGGTCCCTTCCAACCCAAAGCATTGGCACTGATTTAACCACCCTGCTGGGTACGGCCTTGTCTTTGTCCGTTGCAATGGAGGCAGCAACAGCCTTCTCCCTGTAGGGGGAAGGATGAAGGTCTGGCTGCGTTGGGTTGCCAAGTCCATGTGCTCCTGGCACAGGGATGCGGAGCCCAGCCGCGCGCTGGCTTCACTGCTGCCAGGCTCTTTGTTCCGCCTCAGAGCCCTTGCGCGGTGGGAGGCCTGGATCAGAGGCTCCTGGTGTCCTCCCCCAAGCTGGGGGGGAACGTGGGGGTCTGGTGCCCATCCTCATCCACAGCAGAGGCCACGGTGTCCGTCTGTGTTTGCACGGAAGTCCATCTCTGCACCCCAACATCCCCAATCCCAGACCTGGGCACGAAGCTGCCTTGTCCAGAGAGGAGAACATTGAAGGGGAAAGAACGGATGGGGGGCAGCCAGGTGATGGGGAGGAATGAGGGACTCCTCAGCAGGAATCAACTGCGGCTCATCCATCAGGGGCTCTGGTGGCCTTCTACTGGTCCCAGTAAGTCTTGGAATTGCCCTCTCCCAGGGATTCACCCTTGCCTTGGGTCTTTCTGCCACTGCTGCACCCCAAAACACTCTGTGGACTCAACTGGGGGCCCTTCGCCCCCTTTTCCTCCCTCCCCTTTGCCACTAAGATGCACTCCAAGGGCACGGTGGCTGCGGCTGGGCTGGTGGGTTGGAGTCACCCCTCTGAGGTCCCTGCACCCCCAAACAGGGGGATTGCTGTCAGACGGCTTCACGCTGGCGCACCCCAAAATCGTTCACCTCCTAGATAGATGCATCCCCCCCCCGCCTCATTGGGAATGGGGTGGGGGAGATGGGAATGGGTGTGTGGGAGCCCCCTTAGCTTGGGGTGGGGGCTTTAATAGGTAATTAATAATAAATGAATCCCAGTCCCGATCCCAAACCCAGTGACCCTCATTCCAGGCGCCCCCTCCCCTAGGAGCAGGTGGTCCCCAATAAGCCACGCCCCCTATTTTGCATACAGCCCCCCCCCTTCTCCCGAAGCGCGGCCCCTTTAAGGCCCCTCCCGGCGCCGCTGCCTACGGCGGGGAAGGGGAGGGAGAGGGAGGCGTGGCGTCACTGCCGCCAGCCAATCAGCGCGCGGCGTTTTCCGCGGGAAATCCGAATTTCGCGGGACGCCGTTTGGCGCTTAAAAAAAAACCAGCCCGAAAAACCGGAAAAAATAGAAAAAAATAAAAAAACCGCCCCCAAACCGGAGCTATCGGGGGGAAGGGGGGGGGGGGGCAGCGCCCGAGGCGGGGCCCAGCGCAAGGGGAGGTTCTGGGGCTAAACCCGGTTTTGGGCGCTTCTCTGCGGGGTTCTTCCCTCCCCAAAATGAGGTGGTGACCCCCCCACAGCCCCCTCGCCGGGGGGTGCTCCTGCCCCCTCCTTCCCCCGGGCGGAGGCTGCTCGGGAGGACTTTGAATGCTGCGGCTCCCCAGGGGAGTGTCCCCCGCCGCGGGGAGGGGGGGCCCCATCCTCCTGCCCCCCCCTCCTCCTCCTCCTCCTCATCAGCACCGGCACCACCCGAAGGAGGTCATGTCTGTGATGGGCTCCTCCGGGCGGGGGGGGCCCAGCCTGCGCACCCCCCCGCTACCCGCCGGCTGCCTCACCCAGCTCTACGCTCATGCCAGCGGCCCCGCTCCTCGGGGGGGGGCTCTTTATGCCACCCCCCAGAGCCCCCAGCTCAGGACCCTGCGCTCGGCTTCGGCGGGACGGCTGCAGGTAAGGAGTCTGCACCCATCCCCTCCTCGGGCACGGCTTGGGGGGGCTCCGTGCAGGGCTGGGGGACCGCAGCGCACACAGTGCCATCCCCTTCCTGATCCTGAAGCTTCCATTCGGGTCTGCGCCCCTTGGAGGTGTCGCTTTGGGGATGGGAGGTTTGGAATCGGAAGGGGCAGTGAAATGGTTCATAGGCTTCTCCACTTCCCTTTGCCGCTGTGTGCCTGCGGAGCTGGCTCCCGGCTTCCGCTTTTCACTCTTTGGAGGCCTTTTTCCTCCTCTTTCTGGCTTGGCAAACCTCTTCCCACCTTAGCGGGGGAGGCACCGTTCCTGCTCTATGGGGCTGTGACCCCCAGGGTGGAACACGGGGTTTGGGGCTGGGACCCAGAGACATGGTGGGGACAAGGGGTGGTTCAGCGCCACCGCCCAAGCTCGGTTCCTGCTGCGGTTACAGCAGGGCTTGCAATGCCTTTGTTTTTCTGGGGGGGGGGAGAAGGGGTTTGAAGCAATCCTCATCCTCCACGGGGCACCCCAAGGCTTTGAAGCAGGGGGATGTGGGTTGGCATGGGCAAGGGGCCTGCCTGTGTCCCTGTCACCCAGCCCACTGCCTCCAAACAGGGAAACTGAGGCACAAGTGGGGCACTGGGGCAGTGTCCGGTATTGGGGTGCACGGGTGGCTCTGCCCTTCCCATCCCATCCCTCCTCCTGAAGGGTCCCCGCTGGCAGCTGGCATTTAATTCCCACCCACCGCGTCCAGCCCGGGCGCGCATCCAGCCCTCACTGTGAGCCTCTGTTCTCCCAGGTCCTGGGGGGGAGCCCAGACCCCACTCCCTCCGGCTGAGGGGGTTTTAAGGCTTCATTGATGGATTGATTCCCCCTTTTCCCTGGGCCATGGCCACTGCTGTGGACAGGGGGTGGCTTTGCTCCCCACTTTGTGCCATGGCTGGGGCTGGTTGCGCTCCTGTAAGTCCTGTCCCGGGGGGGCTCTGGAGCCACCTGTCTCCTCTCCACCCTCTTTGTCCATGTGTCCTCTTTGCCCAGCATCTCACATCTGAGCCATGTGGGATGCTGCATCCTGCGCTGTTGGTTAAGGAGACACCTGCCCCTTCCCCTAAAAGCACCCTAAAACCTCAGGGTCCCGTTTCCATGCATCCCTGTGGAGCTGGTTTTGGGCTCTTTCGCATCACCATCATAATCACCATCACATAGCCAGGAGATGCTCAGAGTGTTCTGCCCACAACTGTGCCCTGAATGGGGATCTGTGGGGCTCATGTGACACCTGGAGGGCATCCCCCCCACTGCCTTACAAGTGGTGGCCCCATCCCATTCCCTGATGCTGTTATCCCATTCCCAGCCCCACACCCCATTTATGACACAACCTTTGTGTGCAGATCCCAGGCAAGCATTATAATAAGCGTTTCCTCCCCATTCCCGAGCAGGGTAATTGCTGCCACTCCCGTCTCCCTGCTGGATTTGTGCTGGATAACTGAGCTGGGCCGGCTGGAGGGAGCCCATCACCCTGTGTCTGGCCATGGGGAACAGGGATGGCTTGTTCCTCATCTCATGTATATTTCCCCTCTGATTTGAGGGTCCTGGAGCGGGTCAATGTGTTCACCCCCATGAGCAATGAGTGTCCTGCAGAGATTTTAGCATGTGCCAACCCCATCCTCACTATTTTCCATGGCCATATGGGGTCCCTGTACGGGTTGTGGGGTCTTTATAGGGGTTGCAGGATCTTGGAGGGCTCAACGCTGTGAAGGACCCAGCAAAGTCCCTGCCTCCTCCATGCTGGAATAAAGATGTTCAGAGTCCGCTGTGGTTTCGGTTTGAGCTGGCAGCGCTGAGCTAAGAGCGCCCTGTGGGTGCTGGGCTGCAGTTCTGCTGCGGTGACCCATGGTGATCCCATCCCCTCCGTGATTCCATCAAGGGTGCTCCTGCCTGGGCAGGAGTGGGGGGCCTGGGGGTGCAGGGTTGGGATGGGTGTGAAGGTGGTGGCTGTTGTGTTGCCCTCAGAGGGGCTTTGACAGCCTCCAGCTCTACTCTGCCAGGGAATGTCTCCAACCATCCGTGCTGGGATGGGGATGGAGATACCGGATGCGTCTTGGAGCGGAGAGTGGTACCCGTGTACTGCCTTCCTCCCTGGCTCTGCACCAGAGCTCATCCTCCCTCCCCTGCCCACCATGGGACTGAAACCCCTCAAATCTGGGGGTTCCGCATCCTCCTATCCCTGCTGGCTCTCATCCATCCCAAAGGCTGCACTGGGGGGATCTGATTCAGGGGCCCCTTGTCATGAGCAGCATCCCTGGCACGGTGGCGTGATCCCAGGGTGCCCATCCCTGGGTGCTGCTGTGTTCCCCCCCCAGGGGGTGGCATTGGGGGGGCTGGCACAAAGGCAGGGCCTGTGCAAGCCTGGAGAAGGCAGCGGGTGCTGTTGGCAGCAGGAGCCCCCAGGAGGGACAGGGCTGCTCTGATGCTGGGGCTGGGTATAGCCCCCGGCACTGAGGGCTGTTGGCAGGCAGAGCTGGCGGGGGGCCCGGCTTCACCCCCTCCACCCCATTGCCTTCATCCCTTCCCCCCCCCTCCCCCCCGCGTCTGAGCCCCTTTTCTCTCCCCCAGCATTGTATTGGGGGTTCCCCCCACCTTGGGAAGCAGCACAAGGAGGGGGGTCCCCCCATGCCCTGGAGTGGGGGGGTCTTGGTCCTTCCCCCCCATCTGCTCTGGATCATCCTGAGCCCTGGCAGGGTGCTGGGAGCCCCTCGCTGTGCCCCACTCAGCTGTCGTGTGCCTAATCCTGCCCGGGGGGGGGGGGGGGGGGGTGTCTGGCAGCTGGGACACAGGAGAGACCCCCTTGTCCATTGTCCTTTGCTGTGCGTCTTGTCCCCCCCCCACTGAGCCCACCAGGCTCCCCCTGCCCCAATGCATGTGGGGTCCTCTTTTCCCCCCCTTCCTGTGCAATAGGGGTGGGAAACCACCTTTGGTGGCTGCGGTCCTGGGGGGGGGTGTAGGTGGCTGGGGGACACCAGGATTTGCTGTGGTTGTTTCCGTGCCTCAGTTTCCCCGCTGGCAATGGGAACGTGGGTGTGTGGAGAAGGAAGGGTTCGGGTGCCAGGAGAAGGAGGGGGGGGGAATGCAGGATGCTGCTCCCCCCATCCCAAATCGCTCTGGCAGATGCACGGGGTCTGGTCGGGGGCAGGTGGTTCCCATGCACTCAGCGTTAACCATTGGGGTGCCGGCAGCCAGGGGGAGGGCACAGGGCTGGCGATGGAGGCGAATTCCCTGGGGAAAACCGGCTCCGGGAGAGGGAGGGAGGGACCAGATTCCCACAGGAGCTTGAGCCCAGCCTGGCTCCCTGGAGGGGGCGGAAAACAGCCCCCGGCGCCTCTGCCCCCCCCCGAGGTGCCCAACCCTTCCCCACGCACTGGGGTGCGCTCCCGAGGGAGCCGCAGTCGGAGCCAGCGCCGGGACCATGCGGGATGTGCTGGGGGGGACCCTGTGGGACAGCCCGGCCTGGGAGCAGGTACTGGGGGGGGGGGGGTATGGGATGGGGCTATGGGAGCTGCTTGGTGTTCTGTGTGTGTGCCCCAAACCCCCCCCGCTCGTATTTAGGGGTCTGGTGTGGGGGGAATTTCCATGTGATTTGGTGACACCCCCCCTTTTCCCTGGGTCTCTCTGTCCCAGGTGATGCTTTGGGGGTGCCTTGGGGGTGATTTCCAGTTGCTGCTTAGCCCTGGCAAAGGGACAGTGTGTGTGTGAGATACCCCCCCCCTTGCCATGCCCCACTTCCCCTCCAGCTGAGTGCACATGTGTGGGGCACCCCATAGCAGCTGGGTGCCCTCAGCTGCCTCCAACCACGGCCAGAAATAAGGGAACAAAGGGGGGGGGGGGTGTGTGATGAAACCCCGCACCCCATCTGCCAGGGTGGGAGGGCAAGGATCCAGCCTTGGAGCTACCACGTTCCCAGGGCTTGTCCCTAAGGAGCTGTGCCAGGAACTGGGAGCAGGGGGAAATCCCCAGTGGCTGCCATGGGGGGAGCCGGGACCCCCCCATCTCCTCCCTCCCTGCTGGGTGCTGTGGGAACCCTTCCCACAATGGGTTTTGCAGCCGGATGAGCCCCTTGCAAGAAACCTCCCTTGGACTCCGCCACCTCCGGAGGTCCCTTCCAGCCCAGTCGATTCCCTTCCGTGCTTTCATCACAGGCTGCGGCACCCAGGGCTCACCCATGCCCCCGGGGGTGGCCGGGGGGGTGCCTGGCTCCATCCCAGTGTGGGCTTTTCTCTCCTGCTCCAGGCCAAGAGGAAGCTGGACCTGGAGGGCCCTGGATTCCGCACGCCCAAAGGGAAGGGCAGGACCTTGGCACAGGTCCCCAGCCCCAGGAGTAAGTGGTGCTGGGGGAGATGGGGCAGGGGGGAGCCTGGAGGGGGACAGAGCTGCTGCCGCATCCCCTTTAGCACCAGCCAAGGGGCTCTTTGGGCCGCTCCAGCTCACTGCCCCTGCACAGTGCTCCCCTGGGGGGGGCTGTGGCTGGGTTATTTCTCTCCCAGGGTTGGGTTGTGCAGCGCTCCCTGTCCCGAATGGGATTTCCCCTCCTTTCCCTGCAGCTCCCAAGTCTCCCGGGGAGAAAACGCGCTACGACACCTCCCTGGGGCTGCTCACCAAGAAGTTCATCCGCCTCCTGCACGAGTCCCCCGATGGCGTCGTGGACCTCAACCGAGCGGCCGAGGTGCTGGGGGTGCAGAAGCGCCGCATCTACGACATCACCAACGTGCTGGAGGGCATCCAGCTCATCCGCAAGAAGTCCAAGAACCACATCCAGTGGATGTAGGCGATGCCGTGGAGGCGGGCGCGGGATGGGATGGGATGGGATAAAGGGCGCAGGGGAGGTGGTTTGGGATGCGCCGCCACTCGGTGCCGTCTCTGTCCGCAGGGGGACGGGGATCTTTGAGGACACGGCGGTGATGCTGAGGCAGCAGGCGCTGCGGGGCGAGCTGGCCGAGCTGGCCAGGATGGAAAGGAGCCTGGACCAGGTCCTGCAGGACTGCAACCTGCAGCTCCGGGAGCTGACCGACAACGAAGCCAACCAGAGATATCCTTGCTGGATAGGGGCACAGGGCAGGGGGGGCAGCAGGAGGAGCTCCTTGTCCCCCGGGTGGCTTTCCCTGGGCTGGTGGGGGGGTGTTTGGAGGATGCTGCTGGGAGAGGGGATGAGCCATCCTGCTTGCAGCCGGTCCTTTTCCTATAGCCCATCCCTGTCCACGCTGGCCTATGTCACCTACCAGGACCTCCGTGCCATCAGCAGCTTCCAGGAGCAGACGGTGATTGCTGTGAAGGCTCCTCCGGAGACACAACTGGAGGTGCCGGACTTCAGTGAGGTGTGTGTGGGGCTGGGAGCTGTTTCCCCCCGTTGCAGCAGGGTCAGGGCCAGGCTGTGGGTGCATCTGCACCATAGAACCAAAGAATCATGGAATGGTTCAGGTTAGAAGGGGTCTTAAAGCTCATCTAGTGCCATGGGTAGGGACGCCTTCCACTAGAACAGGTTGCTTCAAGCTCCATCCAACCTGGCCTTGAATGCTGCCAGGGATGGGGCATTTACAGCTTCCTTAGGCAACCCATTCCAGTGACTCAGCACCCTCAACAGTAAGGAACTTCTTATCTCCAACCTGAAGTGCCCCTGTTTCAGTCTGAACCCATCACCCCTTGTCCTATCACTCTAGACCCTGATGAAGAGCCCCTTTCCAGCATCCTTGTAGCCCCTTCAGACACTGGAAGCTGCTCTGAGGTCTCCATGCAGCTTCTCTTCTTCAGGCTGAACAGCCCCGATGTTCTCAGCCTGGCTCCTATGGGAGCTGCTCCAGCCCCTGAGCATCCTCGTGGCCTCCTCTGGACTTGCTCCAACAGCTCCATGTATCTGGGGCATCCCAAGGGTGCAGCCCAGCATGGGCCTGGGTGGTTTTGGGGTGTCTCCATGGGGCTGTGTGACCCTGGGCTGGTCATTCAGGGGTTGCAGCGCTCTGCCTGGACCCCCTGCGTAGGTTGGGGCAGTGGGGTGGGATATGGGTGCCCTTCTGAGCCTTGCTCTGCCCCTCCAGGGTAACTTCCAGCTCCACCTGAAGAGCACCACCAGCCCCATTGAGGTGTACCTCTGCCCGGAGGAGATCCAGGAGGAGAGCCCCACCAAGGACCACAGCATCCCCTCCACTGCTGCCTCCCCATGGCACCACAGCAACCCCCTTTCCCTGCCAAATAGCCCTGGGCCAGCCCCACCACCCCCCACCTCCATTCCTCAGAGCTGGGGGGGGGCAGGAACCCCCTCCTCACCCCCATCTCTGCCTCTCTGTGTGCCGGGGGGGCCCAGCTCACTGCTGGAGGTGGAAGCTGGGCTCCTGGGCTCACCCCATCACCTCCTGCAGCAGACCGAGGACCAGCTGCCCTGCGCCTCCTCCACCTTGGACTCGGGACCCTTTGTCACCTTCTCGCCCCCCCTGGGGCAGGACGATTACCTCTGGGGGCTGGAGGGCGAGGGCGTCAGTGACCTCTTCGAGGCGTACGACCTGGGGGAGCTGCTGAAGCACTGAGCATGGGGGACATCCCCGCTGCCTCGCTCCTGCTCTGGTCGCTCGTGCGCTGAGCGCGCAGGGTCTCTGCGGGGCGGCTGGGCAGTGTGGGGTGGGTTGGGGCCATGAGGGTGGTGATGGGGCGCTCACGGTGGCCACCCTGGGTGGGTTTGCCCCGTGTTGGTCACCTCAGGGCTGCGGTTGTCGCCTCCAGGGATGTGGGAAGGACGCAGTCAGGTCCCATGGGGTGTCGGCGTTGATGCTCCCCACTATAAGCTCCCACCACTGTGGGTGCATGGGGTGGGTTAGGGTGGTAGAGAAACCCCTGCCCAGAATGAGCTGTCTGGGGGGGGGTGGTGGGGTGTTCATGGTTTGGGGCCACTCCCCACTTAGACTGGTTCTTTGGAATCATCATGGCTCATTCTGAGCTGTTTCCCACTCCATGGCTGGAAAACCCCTACTAAACCCCATGGAGAGGGGCTTGGGAAGCAGCGCGGGATGAGCCCCTGGACGTGGAGCAGGATATGACTTGGAGTTGTGCTGTTGTAAGATAGATGTACTTATTGCACTGTATTTATATGGGCCCCCCCTTGGCACGGCGCCGGTGGGGTTGGTTTGCAAGTGAGTGTACTGAAGTTTTCCTTCCTTTGGGTTGGTTCTGCTGTGGGTTGGCTCTCGGGTGCTGTGGGTGAGTGTGTTTTTGGCATGGGAAAATTTGTGGCATTTGATGTTTTCTGCCCGGGAGGGGATGAAATGAAATAAAAGAGACCTTTGGAGTTAGAAGGGGCTGTTTTAAGCAGCAAAATGCTGGAGGAGGGAGGTGTTGGGCTGGTTTTGCTCCTGTTTTTGGTGTAAAAAAAGCCTGTTTGGGGGCTTTTTAACTGGCCAGCCTGCTCTGGAGGAGCTGGTGGAGATGAGGTTGAGGTGAAGCTGTGACTGGAGTGAGGGAAACGGGTCTGACCTGCTGTGGGTCAGTGATTTCCAGCCCAAATCCGGTTGGGATGAGCCTTTGCCTGAGCTTGAGCCCCTTGAACCAGGAGCGTGGGAAAAGCCCCAGGGTTTGGGATGGGATGGGATGGGCTTGTGCACCGGGTTTGAGGGCTGGTTGGGTGGCTGCGTTGCAATCCAATCTCGGTGTGGCTGTGCCCATGGAGGATCCTTCCCCATGGGGCTGCACTGGGTTGCCAGCTCCTGCCCAGTCACGTTGTGACCGGGTGATGCCGGTGGTACCCAGCACTGGCTGGGGCTGCAGTGTTGGTCAGGGTACCCAGTGATGTCCGAGGTACCTGGTGGCGGCCAGTGGTACCCAGTGATGATCAGGGTATCCAGTGATGCCTGACAGTACCCGGTGACATCTGGTGATAGCCGGTGGTACTTGGGGCTCATCAGGTGGGGCAGAGGAAGACAAGGAGGAGGAGGGAGAAGAAGAGGAGGAGGGAGAAGAGGCGCAGGAGAGCCCCGAGCCAGGTAAGCCGGGTGATGGGCACAAAACGCTGTATCCACGGTCCACATCTCCGTGTCCCTGCACGGGGGGGGGGTTTGTCCCATGGCCATGTCGCTCCCCCCCCCCCGCAGTCCCCAGGCTGGCCAGGAGGTGGCAGGGCCACCCCAGCAAAGGGGGTGTCCCCGGCCCCGCGGCACCCCCGTGTCCCCCAGGGGAGGCTCTGGGGGTTCCTGTCTTTTGGGGGGGCGTCTTACCCATGGGACCAAACCTGACCCCCGTACCGCAGGTGTGGCCTGACCAGTGCTGGCTCTATAGGACCGTGACATCTCTGTCTCTGCTGGTGATGGCCTCGGTGAAGTCCTCAGCCTCCTGTTGGCTTTCTTTGCCGCAGTTCCTACTCAGCTTGTGCCCACCAGGACCCCCAGGTCCCCCTGCACAGAGCTGGTGCCAGCCTGTGCTGTGCTCTTGGCTTCCGTTTTCCCGCGTGCAAGACCTGACTTGAACTCATAGACTCACAGACTGGTTTGGGTTGGAAGGGACCTTAAAGCTCCTCCAGCCCCAACCCCTGCCACGGGCAGGGACCCCTTCCACTGGAGCAGCTTGCTCCAAGCCCCTGTGTCCAACCTGGCCTTGAACACTGCCAGGGATGGGGCAGCCACAGCTTCTCTGGGCACCCTGTGCCAGCGCCTCAGCACCCTCACAGGGAAGAGCTTCTGCCTAAGAGCTCATCTCAGTCTCCCCTCTGGCAGGTTAAAGCCATTCCCCTTGGCCTGTCCCTACATCCCTTGTCCCAAGCCCCTCTCCAGCTTTCCTGCAGCCCCTTCAGGCACTGGAGCTGCTCTCAGGTCTCCCCTTCAGGAGCCTTCTCTTCTCCAGGCTGAACCCCTCAGCCTCAGCCCATCCCCCCCATTCCCCCCTCCCACCCCAGCCCTTCCCAACCCCCCCTTTACCTCCCCCCCTCTCCCCGAAGCCGGGGGTTTTGCGGGACGCGATCCCCGCCGGGTCCCTTCCCCTTTAAGGGCCGGGCGGGGCTCCCGCGTGACGCGGGCTGGGGGGGGCGGGCGCAGCTCCCGGGGCCGGGCACGGGGCGCTGAGCGGGGCCTCGCCGGCACCCCCGGGGCGCTCCGCACGGAGCCCCCCAGCCCCGCTCCGTCCCGTCCCGTCCCGCCCCGCCCCGCACCATGCCCGAGCAGCTCAGCGTGGCCGAGTTCCTGGCGGTGACCGGCGAGGACCTGAGCTCCCCGGCCGCGGCCGCCTTCGCCCCCAAGATGCACAAGTGCCGGGGGGCGGTGGGGGCTCTGGAAGAGGTGAGTGGGGTTATGGGGGGGGGTCCCCACCTCAGCACAGCCCCGCAGCACCGGTCCCGCACCCGCGGGGCTCCTTCATTCCTTGGGCTTGGGTTTACCGGGGTCCCTTCAGCCCCAGACCCCCCCTGTTCGACGGGTGGGAACCCTGAAGGGGGTGTTTTGGGCGCCCTGCAGTCGGTGTTTAGGGCACCCTAAAGTGTGTGACTTGGGCACCCTAAAATGGGTGTTTTGGGCGCACTAATGTGTGTGTTTTGGGTACCCTAAAATGAGTGTTTTGGGCACGCTAAAATCGGTGTTTTGGGCACCCTAAAGTAAGTGTTTGGGACCCTCGGGCTGGTTGCATCCCCCCAGCAGCCCCAGCGGGTGCTTTTCTGAGTCCAAAGGCTGCAGAAATGGGTAAAACTCTTCTTTCAACCTCCTGTAAAGCGTTAATTTCCAGCTCTGGGTCCCCCTCTGCACCCCCAGAGCATCCCCTGCCCAGTTCAGGGCATCCCCTCCTGGGGCCAGGGCTTCTCCCTGGGGCTGGGCAGAGCATCAGCCCCATGGCTCTCATCCACTCTGGAGGTCCTGGAGCCAGCCCTGATGCGCTGCTGTATCCATGGGGTCGTCCCCCCCCCGCTATTAAAGCCATTTTCAATCCCCCCCCACCCCATAACGCCCGGCCGCGTTTGCAGGCAGGGAGGAGGTGGTGGGGGTGCCTTCGTCCCCCTTCTCCTGCCTGGAATAAAGGCAGTTTCCAGCTGGTCCCGTGGCTTTTGCCAACTCCTCTTAGCGCAGGAATGGCTTTGAAGGGGAGCCAGGGCTGGTGGGGAGTGTGGGGCCCCAGGTGCTGGGATCCCCGGGGGCAGCGGGATGGGCGTCCCAAGGCCTGGAAGACTGGGGATGCACCATGGAGCATCCTGGTCCCTGCCAGCATGTGCTGGATCTTCCTCTCAGCCAGGAATGGGGAAGGCAGCTCCAGCCAGGAGGAAGCAGCAGGGATTTCACTTGGTTGCTCCAGAGGTGAAGGGGGTATAGGGATGGGGGCAGGAGCAGGGGCATCCCCCTGGAATAGCAGGGATCTCTGTGGGGTTTGCTCAGTAGAGCCCCCCTCCTACTGGAGGTTGTGGGAACTCTTGTGGGGGCCAAAGCTCTGCCAGGCCTTTGGTGTCCTGATGCTCCAGCAGGAGGGGAAGTGGGAAATCCAAGCAAAGGAATCCCGGCCCCATGCCATCATCTGCTGCGTCCTGCTCCCAGCCCCACAGAGCTGTCACCCTGGTCCCTGGCACCCACAGTGCCTCCTTCACCAGGCAGCACCAGCCGGCAGCGAGGGGGGGAGGAAGGCGAAAGAATGGCCCCATTGAGCATCCCAGTGGGGCTGTGTTGCAAGTGTGGATCCGTCCCTTCCTCCATCCCCGCTGGGAATCCCTCATGCTTCCATCCTGCCATGCTGATGTCCTCAGCTTCTCCAGAGCAGGAGCCCTCATCCCTGGCTGGGTCTGGGGGTGACGGGTGCTGTGGGAGGGTTGTCCTGGTCCTGCTGAAGCCCGTATCCTCAGCATCCATCTCAGCACATCAGGGATGCCAGCAATGCCCAGAGCAGTGCAGTGATTTCCTCTGTATTTCCCACCCCGGTGCCGGGCTCTGCCTGCCCTGTCCCCACTGCTTGACTCATGGACCCCTTCCTGAAAGCCACTATGTCCTTCCCCAGAGCGTCCTTAATCCCTGCTCTGCACTGGCCCCATTCAGCCTCCTGCTACACTGTCCTGGACACTCGGAGCAGCTTCTTCCCCCCACTTGCACAGTGATGCATCCAGAACTGCCTCAGTTTCCCCTTCCTGAGGCTACGCCAGGTTTCCAAACCTAGCCCTGGCTTCCCTCCCAAGTCACGGGCTGCTCCAGAGAGCCTGGTCTGCCTGGATTTGGGAGGCTTTGGGGCACTCCAGTATCCTCCCCATTGCAGATGCATCGCGTTGTAGATGATCCTGCCTCAGCTCCAGTCCCCTCCCAGCCGGCTCATCCCGGCCAAAGCTCCTCTTGCAGCATCCCATCCAACCAGGAGGGCCTTGGAGAGCGGCTCCAGGGCCAGGCTGACCCCGCTGTCAGGAAATCGGCCTTGACATCAGCCACAAAGCCTTCAGCCTTGAGAGCAGGAGCAAGAGAAATCTCTTTATTGCAGCTCCTCCGTGGTTTCATCCCTGCCCTTCTTCATGTTCACGCCCTCTAAATATTTCCAGCCTGTTATCATGCCTCTGGTACCTGCAGCCAAGACGCCCTTAACCCTTTCCTATGGCTGGGGCTGGCGTTCCTTAACCCTTGCTGGGTGCTCTGCAGGCAGCAACAGAGGCTGGGCTGGCATTGGGCT